CCCGTCCTACCGCCCTGCCCGCACCAGGGCCCTGTGCTCCCGGGGCTGGGCTGGGACCTGCCCCCGCGGGGCCCGCCGGTGCCACCAGGGTGACGGTGACATGGTGATGGGTGACAGCGCAGCTTCTACTTCTCCTTTTTGGTCTCCCCGCTCGGCTGCCCGGCAGCAGCCTGCACCCCGAGGGGCTCCTCCGGCCCCTCCTCCCGTGGCTTCGACTGCTTCTTGGCCTTCTGGTAGAGCTCGTTGAGGTTGAACTCCCGGATCACGTTCTCCTGTGGCCAAGGGGCAGCGTCAGCACCCCAGGGACCCCCGCGGCCCCTCTACCCTTCCCAGGGTGTGGCCTGACTGCCGAGCCCCTTCCTGCCCCAGAGGCGCAGGGGGCAAGGGGCTGGAATGTCCCACCCACCTCAGAGAAGGTCCAGGACACAGCCCGGCCCTTCTTGTCGATCTGCGGCCGGCGCATGGTCTCTGTCCCGCCCTGGAAGAGGATGAGGGTGGGCAGCTGCTTGGTGAGGGGCGAGGTGCTGACCTTGTACCTGTGGCAGGAGGGGGAAGAGGCCAACAGTGACCCCCAGGCAGTGGCGGGGGGGCTGGGGGGCTCCCAGGGACTCTGCCCCGGCATGGGTCCTGCTGCACAGGCTGTCTCCCCCCAAACCTGGTGCTGACGTCCGTGTACCGGCCGACGTCCACCTTCCCAAAGTGCAGCCCCGAGCAGTTGTACCTGGGAGGACAGAGACACACTGCAGGGCTGGACACGAGCCCAGCCCCATGACTCCAACTCACCGCGGCCCCAGCAGGCACCACTCACTTGAGGGAGAGGTCGGCAAAGATGGGGGCGAAGGACTGGCACTCACTGGACCAGTTGGCGAAGAACTCGACGATCCAGGTCACCCGCTTGTCCCGTTCCAGCTCCTCCTGCCACGGGGGCGTGGAGCTCAGCAGGGGACAGCAGGCAGAGACCCCTGGCACCCCCCTGGGGAGGGGATACTCACATCGATGGTCTTGTCACTGAAGTACTTTATGTACTCTGGGCCCATGTAGAGGGGGGGCTTGCAGGTCATCAGGAACACTGCAACGACAGTGCCCCTGAGCCCCCCCTGCCCCTGGAAGGCCCAGGCTGGGTTTGGGACGAGGCTCCTCCTTCCCCAGAGCAGCCCAGGGGGAACGGAGGATGAGCGCGCCCTGGGGCAGGCAGGCCTCCCCCTCAGGGCGCTTCCTGAGCCCCTCCCCTCACTCACCACTGCCCCCTGAGCCCACGGAGGCTCCTTACCCCTGCAGCCTCCTCCAGCAACGAAGGCCACAGGTCAGCCTCATGGCAAGAGGGAGCTCTGGCCCTCCCAGCCAGGTGGCATGGAGGACAGGCAGGGACAGCGGGTGCTGAGGGCAGGCCAAGCCAAAGCGAGGCAGACCAGCACTGCCCCCAGTGCAACGGGTGCCCCCCGAGAGGTCTCACCTATGCAGAGCGTGAGGTAGAGCAGGCCCATGCGGATGTCGAGGCGGAAGAAGAGGATGGCGTTTGCCACTTTGCTGAACATAAAGATGTTCCCGATGTGCTGCTCCACAGTGACTGGGGAAGCGAGAGAGGGACAGAAGATGGGGCCAGATCAGGGGGGATCCTGAGGAAAGGCCAGATCCGGTCCTCCAGATCCCAAGCCATCCAGCTCCCTGGGTGAGGCCATACAAGCAGCCCCACAGTCCCCTGCACACACCCCACAGCACAAGCCCCAACTCACTGGAGCGTCTGTTCTTCATCATCACGATGGCGCTGAGGAACATGAGGATCTCCACCTCCCGCTGGGACAGGAGAGATGGCGTGAACAGAAGGCACCCACGGGACCCTGCAGGCGCCCGGTGCTTGCCGCGCGGCAGAGCCTGGGATTGGCCACCAGCACCGGCTGAGCCGTGCCGCCCTCCCGCAGTCAGGCTGCTCCCGGCCCAGCCTGGCACAGGGACGAGTGGCCGTGCCAGGCCCTGCTGGCCCCAAGTCCCGCCAGCTCCCTGCCTCCTCCTGGAGCTCCTTTCCCTCCCGAATCCCGGGGGGGAGACAGCAAGGAGAGAGGGCTGCCCCTGCAATAACAGGCACGGCCTCCCATCCTCGCTGGAGCCCGGGGAGCCCCTCAGCGACAGGATGGCAGCGGCAGCTCAATGCCAGTGGCTAGCGGGCATCCCCGCTCCCTCGGCTGTGCGGGGACGCAGGCCTAGAGGAGGGCAGGGCCCGGCGGGCGCGGGCCGGGGCG